TTGTGAATATACTGCAAATAGCACTAATTAAATTAATTTATTAATATGTTTATGGGTCTATAATAATATAGAAAATGGCTGCAGCTAACCAGTAATGAGATAACGGATTCAATGTTTAATTATTTACCCAAAATCAACACCAATTAGTGATCTCAATTCTGACCGTAATCAATTGCCGAAACAACTCAATAAAAAAATAAACTTAAACAATGAAAAAACGACCTGATCTGTTTTCATAGAGGGTAGCATAATGTAGTACAAATCAAATTAGAAGGGTAGTAAGTAATTTTGCTTCCTATACGGAACAAACATCCCTATTACTGTGAGGCGGCCGAAACAAAGCTTGTAACAGCGACATAAATTAAATCAAATCGCCTGGTAAGCATTGGCCAAGGGCCAGAGCTTCAAATGGACGGAAGAAAAAGACGAGCGTGTCCCGAATTCGACAAGACTAGTTTTATACCGGCTTCGTTCAATTGGAGCGTAACGAATATCACGAAATAAGCGGCTGATTAAGGCTGAACTCCGACTGCTGGCCAATGTTGATTTATTACATCCAACATTATTTAACGAGCAACATGCAACTCCACCGGGAATTCGTTCGCAATTTCTTGTGTTAAACATCAATTAACCCTTTTGCGATTCGCGAAGTAGAACATGCGACGACAAGTTATGTGACCGACACGAAATATGTCGTGCAAGGGTTTTCATTATTTACTTATTGATGTGACTTTGGTTCATGAAAGCAATTTCGAAACGTTGGTAATATGAAAGAATCGCTCTAGTAACTATTTTAACAATAGCAAATGACCTGGGAATTCCCGTTCTCTATTTACTGGGAAATTTCCGAGATCTGGTAGTAGTATTAGGAGAAAAAAAGTCGAAACACCGGCAATCTTCTGTGATGCTAAAGCTAATACATATGTGGGTAGTAGACAAATGAAATAAACGGAATAAAATGACATATTTTAGACTTGAAGTTAGTCCGTAAATTAAGGTGACTAATAAATGACCTGGGAATTCCCGATCTCTATTTACTGAGAAATTTTTTAGTACCTAAGTACCTAATATTCATAACAAAAATACACTTACTAAACATTCTTGGTGTTTTTTTTTTGTGAGATAGAAATGCCTAAGTTGGTTTTCAATCAATTTCAATTAAGTATGTAACTAATAGGTACATTTATTATTTTTATTAATTCGTAGCGAATTTGATTTAAAAAATACGTTGTTTCTATTTTACGAAGAGCTGATATAATTTCTAAAACAACGCGGAACAAAACATTTTTTCTGTTGCTAGGGATTCACGTTATATCGGTTTCTGAATGCTTCAACATGTCCTTATTTTCAGTTGAATCTTAAATCGATTTAATAGCAGCTGAGTGTCGATTTTACCTATTTGTATTTTTGCTTTCTCTAATATTTTAAAATCTTGACGATTCCGTGTATTTTGGTCAACGATGACATTAATCATCATCATCATAAGGTCGTCAGTCCTAAGACTGGTTGGACACGCACCACCACTCTTTCCTATCCTGAGCTAATTTTCGCATTTCCCTAAAACTAGAACAACCCATATCTTTAACTATTTGCGAATAGTAATATAATCTAAGTCTACCTTTAACCCTCCTAACTTCCGTTTCCGCCTTTAATATGCCTCTGATATTAATAACTTACAGAAAAAAATATTCTTTCCATTAATTTCTAAAAAGTCACAAATTTTCAGCAATATTAATTACCTATAGAAATCTGAAATTAATATATAACAAATAACGTCTTCAAAAATTGTTGAGAATAGTAAAATGCGAGAAAAAAAAGAATGCCATAGGTATTATTAATTTAGTTTTCAAAATTTATACGGCAAATATTTTTGGGACGCCAATGGTTTCAGTAATTTGAAATCATTAGTCACTTAAAAAGATGAACTTATAATAACTTCAGGCTTTTAGGAATAAAATTAAATTAAACAGTAAGAAATTAATTTTCTATTTTCTTGATGTCAAACGTCTTTAAACGAGCCTAGTAGGGTTAAAACACATTAATATGCATGACAAAACATGCTTAGCGCTTCACTTGTGTTATATCTGAGTGAATTTTAAACTAAAAGCACCATTTTTAATTAGTGAAAAATAACTTTATTTATTAAGACAAGAAAAATTAAACATTTACTTATAAGTTTTAAGTTCTAATGTATGAATAATTAAAAGATTAATCTTATTCTAAATGTCAAATGAGCAAAATAAAAAGCAACCCCACTTTTACGAACACAAACTTCAACCCCCTGGCAATAGAATTACTGTTGTCCTATGTAATTTATTGTGAGAGTATATTTTTGTGCGTCAAAAGTAAATATAATTTTATTTCATGCTTCCATCACATTTTTGTATAACTTATTTTTAAGAGTCAGTCAGACGTGAAGGATGTCGAAGTTATTTGATACTTATTTTGATAACTGACTAACTTATTTTCTTCAGATGTAAGTTTTATACAAATTCTTATTATAAATATATAATTGTATCGCAGTTTTTTGAAAGGAATCTTCACGCAACAACAGACATAAATTAAATAAAAAGTTGCTTTAATTTAAGGGTGCAGTGGTGCGTTGATAAGACGCCCATTCTTTTTTAGTTTCCTGACTTGTTAGTTGCCGTGGAAATCGTCGCAAAGTACCTGTTACTTTTATCATTGAATTATAACGAGATACGGTAAATGTATCAGTTCAAAAACTGACACAAAAGTGGAAAGCAGATCGTGAAGTTCAAATAAGTTTTAATTTTTAAATTAATTTTCACTATTGCAGATAAATTAATGAAGAAAACTGTTGCCGCTGTCACGCCTTCGCCGGGAATCGAACCCGAGCTACCAGTAGTGACAGCAGCAACAACAAGAATTTTTGTAGGGCAGATATCCGGGTTCGATTCCCGGTGACAGCATGCGGCAGCATCATTTTTTCCTGATTAATTTGAGTTTATCTGTAGTGGTAAAAATTCATTCAAAAACTATTTTACTGTAATGCACTGAAATTAGCCCTACAAAAATTCATCTAAATGTCACATTGTAAATAACTTTTTATCTATTAGCCTTTATCATGTCGCCAGCCATAAACGTGTTACAATGAATCTCTGATGAAGCATTGCAAAAAGAAGCTAGCAGCATAAAAACTTTCTAACTTTCGAATAATTTATTGATGCTGTGGGTCACTTTCATTTACCGTCATATATCAAAAATAACTTGGCTACGCATCAAGGAAACGCTTGGTCGTTTGCTCTTTATACATATTAAAAAAGTATTTGTATTAGCTATCATCGTTCTTTAGAAGTTTTGTAATAAAGAATCCGGAAAATGTTCGCTGAATATTTTATAGCGTCCCGTTTTATCAAAATAATGTTATGAATAGAGGACATATTGAACACTATTTGAATGTAAAAAAGGTGCATTTGAATCTAGTCCCCAAAACGGTATCATCATCATCATCATAAGGTCGTCAGTCCTAAGACTGGTTCGACACGCACCTCTACAATTTCCTATCCTGAGCTAATCATCGCATTTCCCTAAAACTAGAACATCCCATATCCTTCATTATTTGCGAGCAGTAATCTAATCTAGTTCTACCTCTACCCTTCCTAACTTCCGTTTCTGCCACTAATATGTTTCTACTAGACCTTCATGCCTGAGAAGGTGTCCTACTAACCTATCTCGCCTATTTCTTATTGATTTCCATAGAGTCCTCTGTTCTCTTACTTTTTCTAGTATCTCTTCAATTCTAACCTTCTCTATCGGTATCCTCATCAATCGCCTTAACACCAAATTTCGAATGCTTCTAAACTTTTCTTTTCCGCCGCGCCCACTGTCCACGCTTCGAACTCGTACAGCGCCGTGCTCCAAACATACACCTTTAACAACCTTTTTAGAATTTCTAAATTAACCGCTCGCGAGCATAGAATGGTCAATACCGCTTCCATTTTATTTAAAGCTATCTCTAACTTCTTCTTGTTAGATGCCAATATTCCTATATCATCTGCAAATCTAAGCATAGTAATTTTTTGCCCTTGTATACCTATCCCTACAGTTGTACCGTCTTTAATGATGTTGATCGCGTCTTCGATCCTTCATCATCATCATCATAACTTAAGTCAATCTGTCCGTATTTCGCGAAAACTAAAGCAACCCAAGAGTAATCCAAACCAGGTCTGTCAGGTCATTTTCTAATCTAACTAGCACTTCATGAATGAGAAGGTGTCCTCGCCTATTTCTTATCACCATTCATAGTGCCCTCTCTTCTCCTACTCAAGAGACAAAAGATAAATCGGAAATAAGCATCCTCTTGTTATGTTGCCATTGTGTATTGACAAAAATTAAACTATTTTAAGTATGTACTAATCTATTACAAAAGAAGCTCCTTTTTCTTAATATATTATTTAGATTTGTAATAAATTATGTCTTTATAAATTAGCCAGACAAGAAATTAAAAAAGGAGACGTACCTATTTAGAAGAAACTTCAAACGTGATAGAATGATTGTTTGACCTTTCAAACGCAATCCGAAGCTTTTAAGGTCAATCGATTAAAAATAAAATTTCGTTTGTAGCAACCGTTTTGAATTCCGGCTTGCTTATTAATTTTCCACTAATTTGCATTTGAACTTTTATAATGAACCAGTAGGAATTTCTAAGAACAAAGTTCCAGAAAACGAATTCATTCTTTGAATGGTATCTTTTTGAGAATTTGAAACGGTTTTAAAAAATCAGAAATCATAAGATCACCGTCGTATCTACTTAAAAAANATCAATTATACGCGATCAAAAATAAATAATTTATGCACCTGGTGGAAGTTTTATTATAGTTTCAAAACCTTCTTATGGCAGTGCATGTTTGCAATAGTTTCATTCCGTACGTAATGTCTTCTATTTTTGTTCATCAAATTAATTTAAGACAGACAAGAATAAAACCAAAATCTCCATCTATTATGGATGTAAAGTAAAAAGAATCGAAAATACTCACATTCATCATGATCTTTGGCGGTGACAGTGAGTACGGTATGCTGTATATCTTCATTTTCGTCGACTTCCGCTTCGTAAAGGGCCTTGTCGAAGTAAGGCGGGTTGTCATTCTTGTCCGCGATTCCAATGCGGATAAATTTGCTCACTGAAACAAAATGCGCCAATTAGATAACTATATTTTATCCAAAGTCAAAGATTGAACACTCTCTGGAGAATGAGATACCGCAGACTAAGTGGCAAAAAGTGGATATTTATGGGCAACCAAAGTCTCTTTCCTCCGGAGGGATCTTATCCGAAACCTAATATCATGTTACTAACTTACTATCATAGCTATAAGTCAATAATAAAGTTGAAACCTATCGTAAGCAAATCAACTGTGTAGGCAGGCCTAATTCTTGTATTGCAACCATTTGAAGTTATTGCCTATGGAAAATAACGAGATTAGGTAATAATTCATGACATAGTCACTCAATTTGAATAAATAATATCTGTATATGAATTAAAACAGATGTGCCAAGTATTTTTTTGCCATGCACTATGGTGGTTGCATGTAGGTAGGCAGGTGGTGGCGGGAATATGATGATTAAAAGTGGTCGACCTCGGGCATTTTTATATTTTCACTAGTGTTCTAAAAATATATTATAATATTCGAATTTTTTTGGTAGTCTGAAGTTACAATGATAAAAGTGTGGTCCTTAATTTGTATAAAGAGCAACATGCACTTATAGAACTGGTGCTGCAACGTAGAGAAGTAAGAATCCTGTACCCTTACATAGTGAAGTTATTTTTTAAACAACCTCCAAGAGAATGTAAAAAAATATACTTAGCGAAGGTGTTCAAAAATATAAATGAAAAAATATCGTATTTTCGGTTATGATAGCAGTTCCTTTACTATTACACGGAGAATATCAAACTCAAATGAGACAGATATAAGAGAAGCTGATAGAGAAAAGTGATCGATCGATTGTCAGTAGGTACTTTAAAATTCATCCGAATAAGTTTTTGCGATTTCTTTTTTTTCGGGTGGCAGCGTGACACTAAAGCTAAATATTTTATTTAAATGGAGAGGGTATTACAAAATAAAGATATTCAAATTAGTTCAGGAAATGTAAGCTAAAAAGCTTTTGGAATATTTCTAAAAACGCGATCGAAAAAGAATATAGTAGGATACGTAATGAACATAGTACGGTAAAGTGTAATTAGATTGAATATGCTCCACAAAACCTTGAACGAGAATGATGTATAATTCGATCGTTATAAAACATCCACCCCCCCCCACTCCCCTTTTGAAAGATCACACCTACAACATAGAAGATTGAAGTTTCGAAATTTTTATATTAAACCATATTTCAATGAAGCTTTGACAACCAACAGAGAGAAGTAGAGGGAATTTTATAAACAAAACAAAAAATCTTGAGAAAGAATTAGAAGATAAAAAGGAGAAACGCAGATGGAATACAAAGTCACTATTGACGCAATCTATATAATCAAAACAGCGTGTGAAGAAGAAATAAAGAAAGACAAAAGCAAAATATGTATTCCTCTTTTTTGCGACATGAAAGGGACGTTTGCTAAACTCAAAAAAAAAACACGGTATGGAAAACTTTAGAAAAACTAGAAATGGACAACCAATTGAGAGAGAGAGGGTAGATAGAAAAAGAATATCAATTGGAATACTGTGGAACAATAACTAAATACCCGAAATTCCGCAAAGCGTTGAGAAACCTCAGACGTATTTCGACATCCAAGATGTCATCCTCAGTTAGAGACTCTAACGGCCCAACTTCAATTTCTATTGTAAGTGAAATAAAAAACAGCTATAATTGACCGCTAAAAATAATATATGTATAAATATCTATTTTTGTCCATCATTTTCTCCTTAACCACTGAATCACATTAATTTTGATGATTATTTCACTTGCAAGCTCACAATATGTCAGAAAATACTTCAGTTTCTAGCGCATCACGCGATCCCTTTGATTATTTGTTAATGAAAATGACGCCGCCATATGTTCCTATCCTAAGTCAAAAACGAGCAAGATATACAAGGTGTAATGTATATAGGTAAGATACTCCTAACATTAATACAATTAATATTACATGTCGGTTTGAGGTTCGAAAGAAAATTATATCTGTTATTAATTTATTTTCCATTTTATTACGACAAACAGAGTATTGTTTTATACATGAGCGAGAACACGCTAGCAATTTAACGATCCAATATGTTGTAAAGACTTTGCTGTTATTGCCTTTCGTTGAATATGAAAATCATAGAAACATATTAATCATCATCATAAGGTCGTCAGTTCTTAAACTGGTCGGACACGCACCTCCACTGTTTCTTATCCTGATCTAATCCTAATCTTCGCAAAACTATAACAACAGTAGTAACCTAATCTAAGTAGACTTCTTCCTCCTCTAAGCTCCACTTTTTGCTTCTAATATGTCCCTAACTAGCGCTTAATGTCTGAGCTGTCCTACCAACCTATCTCGCCTATTTTTTATTGACTTTCATAGTCCTCTCCTATTCTTCTAATACCTCTTCATTTCTAACCTTCTCTATCCACGGTATCCTCTTCATTCGTCTGTAACATCACATTTCGAACGCTTTCAGTCTTATAGTATATTTCTCTAACATATTAGAAATGAATTACTTTTCGGAAAATGTTTATTTTATTTCAGTTGAAAACCGATGCTTATTTTACATAGAATGTGTATCCTATTGTTTTCGTTTTCTGACTAAAAATAATTTAGGTACTTTAGTGAAGATTTACGCAATACACAGTTATTAGAAAGCTAAATTACTTGTCAGTAACAACGCACCAGTTATTAGATAAAATAATTTTCATTTAAATACAAACTGAAAATGGAAGTTGTCAAGCATTCATTTATCTAGGAGAACTAGAGGCTGGTAATATAATAACGGACCCATTAAAGGAGTAGGTACGATTTTAATCTTAAAAAGTGATAATAACGGAAAATATCCAACCTCATCAATTTTTGGTTATTAATTGCAATCTGACTACTTGCTCAACCAGAGGCAGTATTGTAGACAGCTACGTAGGCTTAGCAAACGGGAAAATCTATCGCTGACAAGACAGTAGATGGTATTAGGATGATAAAATTTGACGAACAGCTCTCTAGACGGCAATGCTTCCTAGCACTGAATATCTGAATTTTCCATTAATTAAAGCGAAACGGAATTATTAACGACATTAATATAACCGTAATGACAATGCTATTAATTGTGCGTTCATAGTCGGTATTCAACAAAAACTAATGTATGTGACCTTGGACCGGTGTAAATAAAATGTTCGAATGCACAAATTAGTACCCTTTGTGACCTTGTTTTAGTACCAGAAGGAGCCGTGCAGTTTCCGGTTTCGGTTCCTCTTAAACTAAACGTTAAACTTCATTTCTCGGAAAATTTCATAGAATGAAAAATGTTGAAAATGAATAACTGCGTGGGAAATTGTTTTTTTTTTATTTTTTAAATGTCAATAGCTTCCTGTCTCGCAGGGGTATATTAACCAATACAGTTTACATTTGCACAATATGTCGTTAATTGAGACATACAAGTAGGTACTGATGAAAATACGTGTTGCATTGATTTAATTAAGCATTTTCCATTGAAACTGATTGAAGAATTCTCTTGTTTTGATTAATTACTTCAATTTTTAATTATAGCTTGAAAATCATAGCTGCAGCATTGAATTTCCTTTACAAGCTTGTTGTTTTTCTTATCTCAGATAACCGCCAGTAATAGTCGTTGCTTTTCTTCCTCGATTATTGTGGGATTGTTCCCTTTAGTGTATCTTGTAATCAGCTACACCCTCTTTCCAGCCAATGCTGTAATTGTAGACTATAAGTAATCCTTTATTAAAATACAGGATCTGCGCTTCATTTTGCTGAATCCTTTTGTAGGAATAAAGTAGAGATTCCAGTGGGCATGAAAAATCGAAGAGACTTGCTCGAAATGAATTCTTTTCGTATTCCGGTGGACTTAAAAAATCTTAAAGACTTGTTCGAAATGAATTCTTTCCGTATTTCGGTGGACTTGAAAATTCGACGACTTATTCCAAGTGAATTTTTTCCTTTCTAATATCATTATATTTCTGTTAGAATCCATGAACGAACTAGTTCTAATTGCTGGATTAGAGTCAATTCCATGCTCGAATAAGGCTTTAACAATATTTCTCTTCTCATCAATAGTAACTTCTGCATCGAAATAAAGCCATGCAAAACAACTTTGGTGGCAGTTTCTATAGATGGTCGAAGCGAGCTTTCTCAATGCATTGACTATCTTTGTTTTTGTTGGCATCATCCTGAAGACACCGTTTGCAGTTGCCTGCGTAGTAAGCTACCAAGACTGATGGTCATTGGTCATCGCGCAACGGACTTGCGTATGCTAGCCTTTAACCGTCATGATGCTTTTTAAACCCATTCGCTCCTACCTCTATTTTTCGGTTTTTTTTTATATCAAAGTTACAGAGTCGTATAAACAAGCAACATACGTTTGTAGGTCTCATACTAGTAGTTTTAACCAATTGAAGATATTTTGTATTTTCGTTATCGCCCTCCAAAACAATTTATTACACATTTCAACACTTAATTAGAGACTGAGAATGACAGGAGATAAACTGTATGTATTGGAAATGTTTTACGAAAAATATCGTTTGTACCCCATAAATAAAGAAAGGAAATAAAGTTATACTTCGTTTACTTTCTGTAGCGATGTGACCTTAAGTTTGACCGGCGCAAAGTAGAAAAGAACAGCACTAGGCCACAAAAGGAAGGAGACAACCTCAGCCAAAATCTTAACCGGTGAGGAGCGTATAATCCGTACAATACTGCACGGAAAAATTGACCATTTTATCCACTACAATTTCATTGCTCAAATGTGCTGTTATTGGTAGGTACCATTTACTACTGAAAATATCAACGAGATGTTTATTTATATTTGAAGACATAGTAAAGGCTTTAATGCTTGTTTTCGACTCGCACTACTATTCATGATTGAACAAAACTTGTGGCAGGTACTGTATGAAAAAGTATGTTTAATGAACAAGAGTCGAGTGTATAATGAGCTTTTTCCTCTCTATCTACGATTTTGCCAGCGCGCATAGAAGACATTGGAAGGTGCAC